ATGCATATTGCTTTACCTATTAGCTATGGTCGTTGCATCAATGGACATCTAAATATTGTCATAGATGGTAATGGCTTGTGACAGATAGGAGGTCTTATATCCTCATACTTTTGATCCGAGAACTTTAGTCTGCTAATTACCAAATACACACGCCATGCCTTTTTTATGTTCATATACATTATTGGCTGTTTTGCCGAAGAATACCCGTCGGTAAAAACGCTAGGTCAATCCCAGTAAGAAAAGCTCATTCAGCATTCCGCCTTCTGCTTTATCCAGCGCAAGTGTTATATCGTATCATTTACTTTCCAAACGAGAAAGCTTGGCGCGGAATATTGTGTGGCGGGAATCAGATGTGGCTTAAGTCACCTGTTGTACTCTGGTGGCCGCTTGGCGCGTGCACGCATTCACGCGCCAAACCCCGCTTAAGGTACCACCCCTAACCTACTGAACAACTTCATATGCGTCTTTTTGTTATAGAATCTGCGTCGCTTTAGGGGAAAGAACGAAATGCGATATGAAAGTAATCTAATTTTGGAATATGTATTAGGGAGTTCACTCTGAGCGGGGTTGATGGTTCCCCTCGAGGCTCCAGCTGCACTCGGGAAAAGCGGGAAAACTGCCCGCCAAAACGCCCCGATCTCCGTCAGGTCCTGAAGTTAATTTATTTACGGCGTCAACATTAGTGCTAGCATTTTCGTATTATATTTTATTCCCGGGTGATGTTTCTCTTGATGATTTTTGCTTCCGTGGGTATATTTTATTTTCTCTTCAGTTGTGCTTCGAGGAATCCCCATGGGAAATTTGGTTAACGGAAGTGGATTTATAGTGAAAGTATTGATTTTTTTTAGCCGAGGCTTCATGAGGTTCTGGATTTCTTGACGCTGTATAAACACTATTTCACAAGTTATTTTCAGGTCATAATCCGTTAGGTCACATGAGGTTACCCGATCTGTTGCTTTCAGATAATATAACGTCCTTTACACCTTAGTAGAAATTCAGAAAAATAATTAAATGAAGAACCACCGAACAGCAGACACATTTCCACATCATTATTAAACATTAATTCTAAAGAAATGATCGGTAGGCCATAGTTTTAGGTTAAGGTAAACATTTCCGAAAGGGACATGCCGATAGGAAAGTGCTGTCTAAGGCGCGGGAAAGTCGGGTATCTGTAACGTCAGGAGTAGCGTTACCGGCGATAGGGAAGGCGAGGGGAGAGGGGAGGGAGGTAGGGGCTTACCGCGCCATGGGTCGTGGGAGACGCGGTTTACCCCCACCCCCCTTAACTCCCCCCATGTCTCAGGTCCTCACCCCTCCCCATGGGATGCCCCACACCGGGACGGTCAGGCTACACCAGGTCAGAGCGAGGGAGCTCAGTACCTTTGGTCGTGTCACCCCGAACGGAATAACCTCTCTGCCATGGATCGAAAACCATACCGGATATATTACTTCACAGTCTTCATGGACAACAGTTTTTAATCACTTGCGGTAAGTGGACCTACTGTTGTGATAAGTGACATCTTGCAGATTATGAACTCGTAAGCAGTGATCTAGTTCGATTCACCATAGATTATTTATCTAGTTGTTAATTATCATCCCATTTTTATGAAAGTTCTGTGTCAAAGAAGGGGCAGAAGTCGCTTCCCTGTGTTTCGCTTTAAGCGGCGGGGAAGTGAGGCATAGATTTATATTATAGGGTAACTTAGAAGGAAAATGTAAAATAGAACTGTGTAGCACTTCATACTGATGCGAACTAATGATATATGATATATGTCTGTAAGGAAATTATTCTATAAACACATAGAAAGTCGCGCGCTTATTTTGCGCACCTTTTACCATCAATTTGATGTTGTCCGATCAGCTGGTGAGCCAGCTTGAAATTTCATATTTGGCGCGCAGTGACGTAAGATCTTGTAACCAATGGGCTAACGCAACGACGTCTCGCATTCCAATGGCTGCTAGGGTCATTGTTCCCTCGCGCCTAAAAATACGTCTCGAACACCCGCACAGCTGTTCGATTTTGAATCCGGTAAGATTAATTATAGTCAATGGTATAGGAACATTTCAAAAACCCAAAGATAACTTGAAACCATCACGCCTTCGGAGAATATAAATCCAATGTTTACATCCACCAACACCCGAAATTCCCTCCGGCAACTCACCGCCAAACTAGCCAATCGGAAGCCGTCTTGGCGCCTAAGCCCCGCCCACGTGCTTTTGGCGCCCACCTCCCTCGCGCGCGAAGCTCCTCACACAGGTCTTCCTCGGTGCCCCAAACACACCATGTACGCCGAGCTCTGAGATACTGTGGATATTGCCTCCGTTTTTTAAGGTAAACCGAAAACGAGAATGGAAGTGAAAATGTAAATGTGTAGTGCATGAAGTACTTATGGTTTAAAGAGGAAAAGTGCAGATGGGAGGAGGCGAGAGAGGAGAGAAGTGATGCTTGGGATCTCCCGGTGTTTTCTTGCCCGGGTGAATTGGCGCGTTGTTTTTCTCT